TTTATTTTTTATTTTTTTTATTTTTTATGAAATAATAAATTATTAAATTAATTTATTATTAAATATTTAATTTTAATATAATATAATTAACACATCTCACCTTCACCACCCCTACCGCTTCGATGACCGTTCCGATCTCCGCCCTACTCCGACGAACTTTCCGACGACCGTTCCGGAGAACTTCCGGCGACTGTCCGGCATACTTTTCCGGTGACTTCCCAATGGCCGTTTCGGCGGTCACTTTGACTCTGATGATTCGGGTCACAAGTCACAGCCCAAGTCACAACTCAGGTCACAGTTCAATTCCCAAGTCACAGCTCAGGTCACAACTCAGGTCATAAGTCATAGTTCATGTCACAACTCAGGTCACAAGTCACAATTCAGGTCACAACTTAGGATTTTGTTCATAATCACGGGTTATTTTCAAATGATCACAGCACAGGTTACAAAATATTTTTGCACATGGCTTAGATTAATATTTAGTCACAAATTGTCGAGTTTTAATGTCACAATTAATCCATTATACGGTCCCAGTTGGTCACGAAACACAACACAGATTCAAACAACTGTCGCCCGCACAACCACAACCATCGAACCATCGCCTGCATCGCAACAAAAAAGCCTGCACCACACACTAACCACAATCACCAATGTCGCCAACACAACCAGCAACATCGCCACAAATCAACACCATCACCAACAACGAACAAAAATCACCCAAATCTGGTGTAGCCGCCATCTTCAGGCCCAAAATCATCTCAACACCATGGCAATACAACTACCGCACCGCAACCCACCACGACACCGCAACCCACCATCAACTCCAATCAACCACACACCACCTCCATCTGCAACTCCAACCAATCACCCACGGAAACCACCCAACCACCGTACGAAAAATCCCCAAACCACCGCACCACCACCCAAAGAAGGAGATGCATAAGCGGGAAAAAAGAGAGAAATGATCACCGTGAAGAGATGAGCACATTCAACGCAAGGCACAAAACATTACAATCATCGCTATTTCGGCGGAAATTTTCTTCCACAGCGGTGTCGTTGACGCTCAGCAGCCCTCGACAGCAACGGTGGAGAAGACGCTGTCGCTTCTCGCAACGGCGAGCTAAACTATGGTCTCCGGCGACGGCGGATGTACGACAGATGACGACGACGGGTGAGAGATGGAGATGGTATAGAGAGAGAGAGGAATTGGATCTGATCTGATTTGATTTTTTAATATAATTATTAACATTAAAATTTTTAATTATAATCTGATTTTGAAAAAATTAAATTTCCAATCTGATTCTAGAAGTTTAAAAACTTAAAGTATGGTTTCAAGTAATTAACACTTAAAAGAACCATTCAAGAGTTATAATAGCC